AAGAGATATCTTTCCATGAAAGTAGGCTGGAAGTGGAGTGCACTTACAAGTCGTTAGGTGTTGTGAACATACTTTGTTAAGGCCTTTGGTGAGCATTTTTCGTTATTTTACGTGGTTCTACTCCTATTCGCTCTGAGGGTAAATAGTGATAACGGTGGAAAATATTACCCAAGACCTTAGCTTAGATTTAGTTCGTAAGATGACCTATAATACAAATATTATAAGTTATAATGTTTGTAACTTATATAGGCAGTGGTAGCCCAGTGGTAACGCGCTCCCTTGGGAAACCAAGTGAAGCGGGTTGAAATCCCGGGTCTCACACCTCTGATATTTTCATGTGCGAATCGTTTCTAACATGATTACCACTTGCCTTGCGGTGAAGGAAAACATCGTGAGGAAACCTCCATGTCTGAGAGAACTTAACAAGTTTTCAAAAGACTTTTGAAGTCCGCCAACCCGCACTTTGCCAGCGTGGTGGACTATGGCCTGATCCTCCTCGTTCTGAAGGAAGGCCCGTGCCCAGCAGTGGGACGTTAAAAAGGGCTGAATAGAGAACTTATAATACTTATATTAACAGATATTAAACCCATACAAAGTTGAATGTTTCTAAATACTTAAACTAGAGAAGCACATCTACGTCAGGTTTTTATTATTTTCTGTCGTCATGATCTCAAAAGATTTTTACTAACATCATAAACTATTTAAACCACCGATATCATATTTATAACTAAAATATGTTTTAAAAATTAAGGACACCATATATTTCTAATATTAAAAAAAATGATTATATTATAGTTCTTAGTAGAAATGTAGGTTGAAATGAGCAATCATAACAGATTCACATCGCCACGCTATTAGCATCATGTTTTATTAGTTAATCCTCACGTTACAAAGAAGGATTTCCAAAGTGGGATCCAATTTGTCCAATAAATTATTCTATATTAAAGGGAAGCGCATATAATAGAGCATTTATTATTTTATACGGAAATATCCAACGTTGTAGAATTTGAAACTAGAAATCATTTTGAAAAGGCACATTTAAAAAGTATAGGTACTCGTATCTACACTAATATTATAAAGAGGAAAGATTTGTATTTTTGTATGTTTGTAACGGATAAATTCAAAACCTATTGGACCGATTTAGATGAGATTTGGTAAAAAGGTAGGTTGAGAGCAGTACAGAAGATGTACTGCGCCGACCCCAAGTGATTGGGAAATGGGCAGGGAGATGATAATGATACTTAGTTCAAAGAATATCACGCATTATCACAGGAGTCACGAAAAAAACTCATACTAATATTATGAAGAGAAAAAAATATATATACTATGTTTATTTGTAATGGATAAATTTAAAGTCCGCTGAACCGATTTAGATAGGTATGACAATAGTTTGGGATCGTGGGAAGGCTATAGGATAATTTTTATCCTGAAAATCATTCCTTAAGGGGGCAAAAAGTTCAATGAAAGTTTGTATGGGGTATCAATTATTTCTTAAGTAGGATATAAAACTGATCATACCTATGTATATAATATCTGTATACTAACATTGCCCGCGGCTCCGCATGCGTTCAGATAACCAAAAACTAAATTCTTAGGTTTTATATATTAGTATACTCTTACATTGCAGTTTTTGTATTTTTTCTCAGAAATGAGACATTTCCGCGGTAAAAGTATCCTATATGTTGACCCGGATAACCAGCTCGCCAAATTTCACCAAAATCCCTTCAGTGGTTTTTCTGTGATGCGGTATCAGATAGACAGACAGACAGACAAAAATTCTAAAAACTCTAGATTCGGCCTCTGTATCGATAATAATTTTTATTTCAATAAGATTTTCCAAAAAATATCTAATGTTCAGATTCGGCTTACTTACAATTTTATTATATGTATAGATATGTACGTAGATACCTAAATACGTACATAGATAATAAAATCATATATTCACAATAAAACATTCATTTTATGTCGGCGCATTTTAACCGCCCGCATGGACATTTCAAGATAACGTATGGTCAAGGCAAGCACTTTTCATTTATTATTCAACCCCTAGATAAGTTATCGTGATGAAAGAGAATAGCTGTCCGTTTTGTTTCATGTGTTATAAGAATTATTTTTTGTTATGATAATTTATATTTTCTATTGCGTGAAGATTATTTCTAGTATAATATGAAAATAATAGTAGATAAGTATCTATAGGCGTAGACTATAATCTATTTATACAGATAAATAAAATTGAAGTGTCTGTTTGTAATGTCAAAATAACAGCTTTTTACTAAATTCATATGAAATAATATATGGTACTTATAAGAAAAACACAATTTTTAAATTGTCTGTCTTTCTGTTTGTTCATTCCGCCTAATCTCCAAAATGGCTGGAGTGATTTTAACAGGACTTTCACTGGCAGATAGCTGATATTATAAGGAATAATTTAAGCTATTTTTATTTTAGAAAAATAATTTGGGTTCCGCTCAAAAAAATTAAAACGTACCTAGCGGGGGGGACGCTCCCGAACAAAGCGAGGGTAACGCGCTAATGAATATGTAAGATATTTTTATTTCTCTCAAGACATATAATTATTTGTATTTTTATGTAAATATCCATATTAACTAAAATATATAATATATATTGCAAAAGTTACTACGTCACGATCTACAACTATACTTGTTTAAATATTTTTCATGATTTGAGCACAGTAGCGGAAGGAAGTCGGCGTCTTAATAGTTAGTGCTCGAGCCTTTTAACTTCATACATTTTATATAACAGTATGTATTTCTTATAAGCTGATATTACTACTTACGTTCTACATTATAAGAAGGTAATATTGAGAAGATTATTACCTGCTAAAGTCGGGAACAGATTTTTAGAAATAAATCTTAAGAAAAGATTGGTACATTTAAATCTTACATGGAGCATTAATTTACAAAGATACTAGCGTCTTTCTATAGTTTGTGGTGGGGTATGTTCTTATATAATAACTACATGGCAGCCCCCACCCCATTAACTAATGATCGATTTACGTGAATCTTTCTTTAATTAAAAGTTCAAAAATAAAAGTAACCTAAGTTACTCCTTATAACATCAGCTGTTTGCCAGTGAAAGTCCCGTCAAAATCGGTCCAGTTGTTTCGGAGATGAGCCAGAGCAAACAGATATACCTACAGACAGACCGGCAGACAAAAATTATAAAAATAATTTTTTTCTTATAAGTACAGTACCTATATAGTTTCATATGCAATTAATAAAAAGCTCATAATTTAACATTACAAACAGACTTCAATTTCTCTATCAAGTTTGCTTTTCACAAAATGGGTTCAGATAATTAATGAATTAAACTTATTAACATTGTGCTGAGTGAAGTTCCTGAATTTATTTAAACAAATTACTTTTAACAGTCAAATGCTGAATTTCTTGTATTTCAAACCAGATGGTATTATTCAAAAAAAAAACAACTTTTACTTCATGCGTACATAATTTTTTTGTTTTTTACATTTTTTGCTTTGTTTAAAGGCCTCTTATTCAATTTTTGGAACAAAAAATCGTTTTGATCAATGCAATGTTGGTTCTGATAATAAATAATAAACTTCTAAATGTGCCAGATACAGCAAGGAGCATTGGCGGATATAAAAATTTCACCAATATTCAATCGGCTAAAAGTTTTCGCTATTTCCTATAACAATAATTAAAATAACTAACAGCTTAAAAATCTATAAAATCGAGAATCTCCTTCTTTTAAAAAAAGTCGGTTAAAGGCACAAACTATCTAAATTATTCACTATTTTTTAATAAAATGGTAATAAAACACCTAGAATTTAGAGGTAGGTTGACATTTTAATTTACACAGTAGTTATTTATGTTTATTAAAGCTAGCAAAAACGTTTACGACAACTATTTTTACCACCCCAGCACAAGCCATATGCGTTTACAACATAAAATCACAGTATTAATTATTCCTGACACTACAAAATGACACGCTTAGTGACGTTTTCGAGACAAGTTTTAATAAAATAACAGGGGTGATCACCCTATGTTATGCAAGGGGAGTATACGGCTTATTTTAATTTTAAATAACCACTAAGCTACGCGAATGGTTAAACGCTAGTTAGCATGTGCAAGATGAATAAGATACGAATATTATAAAAACGTACCCATGTTTTTATTTTGTGCTAACGTTTACAAAGGAAAATTATGCAGAAAACTCATATTATATAAATTCTCGTGTCATACAATATTTTAATTTTCTTAATTACGTTTCTCTTATATAAATACTAGCGACTAAGCGTAAGTTTGTAGTATTTCGTTCGTGTGCGTCCTTAGATGTCTACACAGTAGCCTATGTGCTACCCCAGATTTTTTATAGTATGGTAATGAATTATTGATATTAAGTCGTGGTAGCTCAGCGGGTAACGCGCTCGCTTAAGAAACCGAGTGAAGCAGATTCAAGTACCGAGTCTCGTACCTCTCATTTCATGTGCGAATCATTTCCACCATGATTACCACTTGTCTTACGGTAAAAAAAAACTCGTGGATAAACTTAAATGTCTGAAAGAATCTAGAAAGTTTTCGAAAGATATGTGAAGTCCGCCAACCTGCACTCGACAAGCATGGTGGACTATAGCCTGATCCCCTCATATTGTGGACGCTAAAAAAAAGCTGAATACAAAGGATTATTAGTTTCGTAGACTCCTCCTTTGTATTCTATTGTTATATTGTTTCCTACAAACAAATAAAATATTATTCTCTCTGTGTAATAATTAAGAAAATACAGATATATGTACAAAATGTGATTTTTACTAACCAGATCATGATAGTAGTATATTTTTAAATTTAATTAGATTAAATAGTAGCTGAACTAAAGCATGCATTGAACTTGTGAACGAAGGCAGTGGCATAAAACTTTCGAACCACTGCGTTATAACGGTCATCGATGTACAAATATTACGTTTCTTATAATGGTCCTATATTTTATCTAAATCCTTTTATAAAATCTTCTTTGAATTTTTATCCCACAGCAATCTTAGGATTTGTAGTACTGACGTATTTGAGCTTCTGGAAATTATTTTTTATTGAAACATAAAAATACTTTGTAAGGTATAGATAAGTGATTCTATTATAAAGTAAATTATTTACTATCTTTAGGTAAAATATTCCTTGCTACATTTTCTTTGATTGTGTTTTCAACCCAAAAAGAGAGATGTAATAAGTTAAGTGTGTCTGTCTGTATCTGTGTATCTGTCTGCGGCATCGTAGCTCTTAAACAAATGGACCGATTTTGATGTGATTTTTTTTTAAACTTAGAAAAAGATATATAATAAAAATTAAATAATAAAAAATTGACTAAGTAGCTGTTTGAATTGCATGCTAAGACTGTCGTATCCTTAAACATAAATTTGTATCTTAACATAATTTTATTTTTTTACGATGCGAGAGATTTAGACTAATGTATGAAGTTGGTCGTTATTTAATTTTAAATTTATATCGAAATACACTGAAAATTCGGTATAAGTCCCACAGTGGCTAAGGTATAGGGAGTAATAATAATATTTGCCCCGAGCGGGAATCATGCTTAAACACTCCGGCATATAAATGAATGCCAATAAGGCAAATACGCTTATCCGCCATAATGGTGCTGGGTTTATTTCAACTAGTGTCTATCCAATTGTCGAAATTCGATCAGTATATTTTTCTCAAACTATCTTCTTATCAAATTTCATCTAAATCGGTTCAGTAGATCCAGAGATTACCCCCTACAAAGTCACAAACTCACAAATTTTACCTCTTTATTACATTAGAATAGATAATGAATATTGTTATTTGTTTACTATTCAAACAATTTAAGCTGTAATTTTGGTAAATTCCTTTAACTAATTTAATGTATTACTTAGGGATTCATTTTCAAAATTACACTCATACTTTTACAACGTTTTAATAATATTATTATTTACGTTAAAAGTAAAATAAAATATTTACCCAATTACGATATAAATTTAAAATTAAGTAACGACTTACTTCGTCTAAATCTCTCGCATCGTAAAAAAAACACTCTCATCGTTTTTTTTTTCATAACGCGTCAAAAGAAGTATACCTCCAAAATAGTGTAGTCTTTACTCAAGTATCTATACGACTTCAAAATTCACAAAACTAGAAAAAATCATTACGCCTATAATTCTAGGCCTCCTGTTCTAATAAGCATCATACATATCCTACGAACATCTAAATCAATAGCAAGTACTCTACTACTGTGCAGATATAACAAATTTGCATAATATCAAACTTTTACACCCTTTTAGGGGATTGCAATGCTATAAAGCTACTCAAGCCATATGTTCAGCGTTAAAGTTTAAAGTAACACATGTTAACAAAAGCATGGTATCAACAAAATGCACCCCAAACAGGCGTTTATTCGGGATTGCTATTATCATCGGATTTGGTTTCATGCATACATATTAGATATTAGCAGTAGAATGTAGAAATCTTTATATGTTTAGTTTTGGGCGAATGTTTCGTGGTACTGAAGGGTTTATTCGTAATTAGTCTTGGTTTACATGTTCGGTTCTCGTTTAGGGTAACACTTGTATAAACAAAATAGTGATGTGGATATATGGAATGTTAATATAGTCAAAATGTTAATAGCATTTATAAATAGTGACTTACCCTCGCGTGGCCCCTGTCCCTTTTTACAATGTAATATTTTATAATATTGTTACAAACAGAACCCGAGGCTTCGCTTGCGCTAAAACTCCAAAAAATCTTTAAAAAGATAGTTTCATACAAACTTTCTTCCCCTTTTTTACCCCCTAATGGGATGAATTCCGAAAAATCCTACAACACGTATTTATTTAATTTTATTGAAGAACATTAATACCAAGTTTCAAGTAAATCTGATCATGAACATTTTTTGGATAGTATTATTACGTGTTTTCCCGTGGGAAAAAGTTAGTTTGCAGCGATAAAAAGTAGCCTATATCACTCTCCAGCCCTCCAACTATCTCCACACAATCCAAACGCAAAAAAAACCACGCCAATCTAAAGAAGGACAAACAAACAAACAAACAAACAAACACATTTTCCCATTTATAATATTAGTGTTGATATACAGGCACGGTAAGTGTACAGCGCCAACTTTTAGCAAATATTATTACCAATATTATGCTATGTATTACTTCAGCTAAGTCTGAAGCTATAGTCTATATAGTGTACTTTTCATCCAAATCCATTCAGCTGTTTCCATGGAACGAGTAACAAACATACATACACTCATACAAATTTCGCATTTATAATGCTATAATAGTAATAATGCTGTTACGAATTAACAATACAAAAGAATTTTGTTACCATCGCTCAAATTTTTCATGTGTTACAAAATTTTAAATCATACATATTTCAGCGTGCACTGAAAAATAGTACACATAAATAAAAATCACTTTTTGTGCCAGTTGATTATCCCATGGCTTATTTATTCAGCTTTTTCAAGCTAGCGATGCAATATTTTACGAGACCGTAACATACTTTAATATGCAACTATATCCATTTCTCACTTTGCAATTTTAACAAGCCAATTACAGTACTTATTAAAGCGCTACTTAAAACAATTTATTTTTATTACTTTAACGATTTTAATTTAATTCTGAAATATTTTGTTTGGTTATGATTTTTAAAGCTCCTTTAGATGTTTTTTAGACTCTAGGTTAAGTTCTAGTTTTGTGTTTATATATGTACTAGCATTGCCCGCGACTCCGCCCGCATTCGGATGACCAAAAATCACATTCTTAGGTTTTACATATTAGTATATTCTTACAATGCAATTTTTGTATTTTTTCTCAGAAATGAGATATTTTCCCGCGGTAAAAAGTATCCTATATGTTGACTCGGATGACCAGCTATCATCGTACCAAATTTCATCAGACAGACAGACAGACAGACAGACAGACAGACAGACAGACAGACAGACAGACAGACAGACAGACAGACAGACAGACAGACAGACAGACAGACAGACAGACAGACAGACAGACAGACAGACAGACAGACAGACAGACAGACAGACAGACAGACAGACAGACAGACAGACAGACAGACAGACAGACAGACAGACAGACAGACAGACAGACAGACAGACAGACAGACAGACAGACAGACAGACGACAGACAGACAGACAGACAGACAGACAGACAGACAGACAGACAGACAGACAGACAGACAGACAGACAGACAGACAGACAGACAGGGACAGACAGACAGACAGACAGACAGACAGACAGACAGACAGACAGACAGACAGACAGACAGACAGACAGACAGACAGACAGACAGACAGACAGACAGACAGACAGACAGACAGACAGACAGACAGACAGACAGACAGACAGACAGACAGACAGACAGACAGACAGACAGACAGACAGACAGACAGACAGACAGACAGACAGACAGACAGACAGACAGACAGACAGACAGACAGACAGACAGACAGACAGACAGACAGACAGACAGACAGACAGACAGACAGACAGACAGACAGACAGACAGGCAGGCAGGCAGACAGACAGGCAGGCAGGCAGGCAGGCAGGCAGGCAGGCAGGCAGGCAGGCAGGCAGGCAGGCAGGCAGGCAGGCAGGCAGGCAGGCAGGCAGGCAGGCAGGCAGGCAGGCAGGCAGGCAGGCAGGCAGGCAGGCAGGGCAGGCAGGCAGGCAGGCAGGCAGGCAGGCAGGCAGGCAGGCAGGCAGGCAGGCAGGCAGGCAGGCAGGCAGGCAGGCAGGCAGGCAGGCAGGCAGGCAGGCAGGCAGGCAGGCAGGCAGGCAGGCAGGCAGGCAGGCAGGCAGGCAGGCAGGCAGGCAGGCAGGCAGGCAGGCAGGCAGGCAGGCAGGCAGGCAGGCAGGCAGGCAGGCAGCAGGCAGGCAGGCAGGCAGGCAGGCAGGCAGGCAGGCAGGCAGGCAGGCAGGCAGGCAGGCAGGCAGGCAGGCAGGCAGGCAGGCAGGCAGGCAGGCAGGCAGGCAGGCAGGCAGGCAGGCAGGCAGGCAGGCAGGCAGGCAGGCAGGCAGGCAGCAGGCAGGCAGGCAGGCAGGCAGGCAGGCAGGCAGGCAGGCAGGCAGGCAGGCAGGCAGGCAGGCAGGCAGGCAGGCAGGCAGGCAGGCAGGCAGGCAGGCAGGCAGGCAGGCAGGCAGGCAGGCAGGCAGGCAGGCAGGCAGGCAGGCAGGCAGGCAGGCAGGCAGGCAGGCAGGCAGGCAGGCAGGCAGGCAGGCAGGCAGGCAGGCAGGCAGGCAGGCAGGCAGGCAGGCAGGCAGGCAGGCAGGCAGGCAGGCAGGCAGGCAGGCAGGCAGGCAGGCAGGCAGGCAGGCAGGCAGGCAGGCAGGCAGGCAGGCAGGCAGGCAGGCAGGCAGGCAGGCAGGCAGGCAGGCAGGCAGGCAGGCAGGCAGGCAGGCAGGCAGGCAGGCAGGCAGGCAGGCAGGCAGGCAGCAGGCAGGCAGGCAGGCAGGCAGGCAGGCAGGCAGGCAGGCAGGCAGGCAGGCAGGCAGGCAGGCAGGCAGGCAGGCAGGCAGGCAGGCAGGCAGGCAGGCAGGCAGGCAGGCAGGCAGGCAGGCAGGCAGGCAGGCAGGCAGGCAGGCAGGCAGGCAGGCAGGCAGGCAGGCAGGCAGGCAGACAGACAAAAAATCTAAAAACTATAGATTCGGTCTCTGTATCGATAATAATGTCTATTTCAATTAGATTTTCCAAAAAATATTTAATGTACAGATTCGGCTTAGTTACAACTTTATTATATGTATAGATGTATTTATGTTTATTCTACGGGAATGGACTGACGGGACTGACTAGAATAAAGATTAGTCATATATAAATAGCCAAAAATTGTAGATATATGAAAGAAACGAGAGACGAAACTCTAAAAATTTACAAACCGTGTGTAGGATTTTGTATAATAATAGTTTTCTTTATACAAACATAAACTAAGATATAATACTGTTAATCCAAAATGTAGCTAATCAGCGAAGCACTATACATCGTCTCCGAACAGACGAACAATGTGCATTAGAATAACACAACTGAGCACTTCAAACGTAACGATCTGCATCTTTCTGCTTGTTAAGACCAACTTCTACTAAAAGCTATGCTTTAGCATATACACATAAGCAAATACAGCAAGATTACACACTGCAAATAATCGCGTGGGCTGGAAATATTTTCATTTTTTGTTCATCGATCGTAAGGTCTTTCAATAACAAAACAAGTATTCAAAATGCTGGAAACCAAAAATCTAAATAAATCTGCGAAAAAATCCAAAAACATAGTTTTATTAACGCGTGATATAAATGAAAACAAAACTACGTATATAATAATACTACGTATTTTTATATAATTTTGTATTTTTTAAGCATTTCAAGCATTCAAGCAAATTGTATCCCGTCAATAATAAATAAATTTTAATAATAAGGATAGGTGAGATACTAAAAATAACGCACTTTAGGCATATTACAATCATATACTTATAGAATATCATCTAAGGAAAGAATATATTATTATATATCATTTGTCAGACAATAACAACGGTTACCATGAAATCAAACGTATGTACATTTTTCGTAACGCATTACATTTTTTCGTAACGCATTCACCAGCTTACCCTCCAAGTCAAGCGTGCGTAAAGAAGTTTTACTTCAAAAACCTAAATTCAATATAGCTTATCCGCTTTAATGGAAGATTAACTTTAATCTGGCCATAGTTAGAGGATTCCCAAACTACGCTCTGCGAAATGCGATGAAACACATGAAATTGAATTGTTCAAATAAACCGAACATGTCTCAGACGCTTATTATAAAGTTTGATAACTAATAACATTTGGTGCACTGTTTCTTATCCAAAAATTTATAGATTCAACTTAAAATAAATTAAGTATTCTTTATAAGTATGTTATAGGTTAGACAATAATAGCTTTAAGTTTAAATAGCTCATAGTAATAATAAAGCTTCGAATTTTTAATATACAAAAGCTTATATTAGACGAAGAAAAGATATAAAAATTGCGTTTTTTTTTCAGAAAAGATACTTGTACAAATAAACTTAAAAAACAAAACCTCATCTAAATACATTTGTTCCAAATCGTTAGAGTCGTTTCCGAGATACACGAAATTTTATACTCATATATATAAAAATGGTTCATTTAATATTATAATTTAAGATTATATATTTTAGTAATATTTCGAATGGAAAATACACGGTTTATAATTTACAAATTCTAAAATTTACATTAATTACATTATATTATGTATGTACATATTTATAGTTCAAAAAGCTTCTATTGGTAGATTTAAAAAATATATATATGAACATTTCTGTTTTAAAATTAAGTTTATTTACTACAATATATGCTATAAATAATTTTCTAAAGGATAGCACACTTTGGGAATGACGTGATGCCTCTAGGCTCTCTCAAAAAAAAAACTTTAGTCCAACTGAGTGTCGCCCGGTAGTTGTGCTCAGGACTGAGTCTTTTTTTGCAAAATGCTGGTAGAGTTTGATAGAATAAATAAATAATTTTGAATTTTGATTCTGCTTTTATCTTCCTTTAATACAATTGAACCTACTAAAAAAAGAATTTTAAAACAAGAATAATAATACTTTCTTAGATTTACGCGAATATTTGACATTTTAAATAAAACTATCTTTTCGTTTTTTTTTTAATAAATATTATAATTAAATATAGCAATATTATTTATTTAATTTTTGCTGTTATTATTATATTTATTATTTATTTGACGTCAGGCAGGCGGCCGGTCGTAAAACTTTTGCCATATCCTATCAGCAGTACACTGAAGATGTACTGCGCCGACCCCAAGTGATTTGGAAAATGGGCAGGGAGAAGAAGAAGAAAATTATTATATTTATTAAAAAAAATATTGTCATATTTAATTATAATACTTACTATTTTTTTTTAAATGCTTAGAAATAATGGTAGGGGAGCCCACGAAGCTAAATGGGGATTTACTCGAGCGTCGTAGAGACCTATTGGGATGCAAAGCTTAGATGATAAGAAGAAAAAAATGTTATATGATATATACCTTTACATCGGTGGGGGAAGCGGCTATAGATTTTTAAATATGTAAAAAAAACTGTTGCATAGACATCCTCGAGCGCGTCAGATATTGATAGCATAAATGCCCTACGTATTTTTAATAATGTACGTATGTTAATCTGATCGTTTGCATGATGCGGGTGGTTGTATTTAAGGGTTGAAAATGAAAAAAAAAAAAATTTAATCGAGCGCGTCAGATTTTCTAAGGGAGTGTTAATTGCACCAAAAAAAAGCTCTCATTCACTAATCTGACGATTTCGATGGGACGCAAACTCGCGGCCATTTTCATAATGTGCAAAAAAAAAATCGCCATTTTGAAATACTCAAGCGCGTCAGATTAAGATATATATGGTTCATCTTTATGTTCTAAACGTACTGTCTCATAATCTGACGATTATCTAGAGGGATTCGCCTGATCTGACAAAAAAAAATTAGAAAAACGGTTCACCTTAAAGGCCATACCTGCAACTTCCCGCTAATTCCATTCCTGTGCGCTTAAAATTGTACTTATGGCATTTTTGAGCTCAAAATATAATTTATGTGATATTTTGAGCTCGCAGCGTTCAAAGAAATAATATTTCTATGCATTTGAGCAATTTTCACGCGGTTGACGGCATTCGACGCAGTTTTATTATCCTCATAATTTTTTTTTCTCAAAAGTTTTAATTGATCGAACCATAAATTTCGGAGTAATCCCGAAAAAACACTTTTTTTCGGTTTTCTTTCGTTCACGATATCTCTCAAATTGAAGATCCAGAGATATTTCATTAATTCGCGAATTATTCGAAAACTTTCGAATTATTCGAAATTTTTACGAATTATTCGAAATTTTTCGAATTTCGAATCGAATATTGATATTCGATTCGATTCGAACGATGTTCGCACACCCCTAGACTCTTTATGATCAGCTGTGATGGTGTCATGGCGGCAGAAACCAGAGTGGGGACGGAGTGAGAGAGTAATAGATAGAGAAAGAGTGAGAGAGGAATAGAAACGCGGAGAAGGAAATGTAGGCATCACGCAGCTGCACGCATTTAACTTTATCGACGAATTTTTGTTATTTCGGCTTGCGGAAATCGTCAGATTATATATTTTTCATTATTCTTGAATTATTTCCTTCAAAATAAAAAAAAATTAGCTACGCTCGAGAATGTCGAGATGACGTTTTTTTTTACAACTTTGTTGCCCTCCCCTTTTTTTACGTCACTCTCAAATTGTCAGATTAGTGGAATATACACTTTTTAGGATGTAATTAACTCACCCTACCTTAATCTGACGCGCTCGAGAATTTCTGATGGTCAATTTTTTTTTACTAATCTGATCCTGTATCCTTCACGGGCGGCCTTATATATGGGCCTCATGTTTTGTGGAGGTACTTAACCGGGTACAAGGTATCCCCCTGTATATTAATCTGCCGCGCTCGAGTAACTACAGAAAATCCCCTCTTCGGCTCCCCTACTATAAAAATCAACAAAAATATTGTAAGGTACTATAATCCTATTTTTGAATTTTTGAAATCATTTTTGTAAAATAGTGGGTAGGCACTGTTTGTAACAAGTATATGTATTTGAGACGTCTATAACCTTAGTCTCTCCCGTGACCATGATTGCTGTAAAGCATTCGAAACGTCGGGAAAATAATCCGAAAAGATAGTTTTATTTAGAAGAATAATAATTAGAATTCGACAATACATTTCGTGCATACATTACACGTAACCAAACAAAGAATAATAAATAATATGTTGAGACATTAACACACAGCACCATCAAGTTCCATGGTGAGCTACGAGGTTTGTGTTATGGATACCAGTAATACCAGGAAATAATATGTATGGCCCCCGGCTTGAAACCTTTGAACAAAGGAATGATTAAGTATAGCACTTATTATTTCGTACCGAGTTAGAAATCAAATTTCACGCCATATTAAATCCAACTAATTGTTATCCAAAAATATGGACGACGTCAAACTAAACCACATGCATACCGAATGCCAATAAATCAAATTTCGCCGTTTGCCTCGTTATTACGTTCGCGGATAGCGTGTAACTAAGGTACATTCCCTGTTCAAGGTATAGTTTTTTTTATAGTTTACTGTACATATTTTTATAGTTTTGTATAGTACATATTTAATACTAAATATTTAAAAAAAAATTACAAGTTATCGTGAAGTAAAGCAATAAGCACTAAACGCTTATTACATGTAGAAAATCTAAGTGCGATGGGAAGTTTTGTATGTACAAATCTCAATATTAACAGCTATAGCACCACTTGCTAATACAATGATAAAAAAGCGTGTGTGTGCAATTCACACATGGGTGAACTAAAACTTAATATTATATATTTGTCAGATAATAACAACGGTTACCATGGCAACATGTTGATGTATTCTATCTCATTCTCTCGCCGGCTTAATTCTATATATTTATGTGCTTGTCTCTTTTTATTGTCGCATTTCCGTTTCTTCAAGTTTCTAATCACAACAATTCTAAAATAGGTTTAACTTCAAAAATATAAGCGTGTATTTAACTAATTTTCCAAAAACTTATACCACGATGAATTCACATTTAATTAGTGAGGCAGAGCACGCTTGTATCCAGTAATGGAAAATTAAAAATGGTGAATTTATTTATCTTAAAACCAGAAATCGTTATTAGTTTTTTTTACTTGTGGCAAAACACTTTACTTAATCTGTGATAGTACATTACGTCCTATTAAAAAAAATACTCTATAGTGTAAGTAAATGAAAATTCGAAACTAAAAAAAA